CCAGGTATTTTATGATTTCCATTCTTATATCCAGGTCTTTAATCCACTTCGAGTTGATTTTTGTGTATGGTTCTAGGTAGTGATCTAGTTAGATTTTTTTTTGCATGTAGCTTCCCAGTTTTCCCAGCACCATTTGCTGATCAAACTTTGTCCCATTGTATCTTCTTTGCTCCTTTGTCAAAGATTAGCTTCCCATAAATCTGTGGGTTCTATATCTGGGTTTTCTATTCAAATCCACTGGTCAGTGTGTCTGTTCTTGTTCCAGTACCATGCAATTTTGATTATTATGGCTTTGTAGTATAATTGAAGTTTGGGAATGTGATGCCTCCTTCTCCATTCTTTTTAGTCATGAAAGTTATAGCTTTTGTGGTTCCATATTAATCTCATCAATATTTGTTCTATTTCTTCGAAGAATGTCAGAGACTTTTATTGGGATAGCGTTAAATCTGTATATTGTTTTTGGTAGGATGGCCATTATGATTTTGTTAATTCTCCCAATCCATAAGCAGGGTATGTCTTTCCATTTCATGGTGTCTTGTATTTCTTTTAACAGTGTTTTGTAATTTTCTTTGTATAGGTCTTTTAGGAGGCACAAGTTTTAATGAATTCTTGTCTATATCTCCAAAATATTTTCCTGGGTTATTGATGGAAATTACTCTATATCTATGATCAATCTGGGGAGAACTGACATGTTTAACAATGGTGAGTCATCCAATCCTTCTGGATAGTATTATTCCTTCTTTATTTTACATGAGTATTGAGTATTTTTCGGCATACAGGCCCAGTATGTTTGATTTGTTCATTTTATTTTCCACGACTATGAGTGGAATTAAAGTCTTAAATTTTTATTTCATTTGTTCAATACTAGTATACAGAAATGTAACCTTGCTGAAATCAGTTATTAGTTTTAAAAGTTATTGTATTGGCCCTCCCTGACAATTATCCATATTACCAAAATATTGTATTGGCCCTCCCTTGTGGCGCAACAGATTAGGATGCAGCACTGCAAGCTGGCCACAGGAACTTCAGTCATAGTTCAATCCATAGCCCCAGAGCTGACCCACATGGCGTGGCAGACCTCTCCTGACCTGCCCTCTGCTCCTTTCAGCAGTGCAATCATTGATCTGCCTGTTCTGCTCCCCGCTCTGTCTTTGGTGAAGCCTCTTGCCACCCTTGCACCTCAGTTCCATATAAATAAATATATATTTTTAAAAAGTTACTGTATTGTTGATTTCCTTGATTCTCTGACTGCAACTTTATTGGGTCATTCCTTGGTTCAGGAATTTATGCATAAACACTTAGAAAGGAATCCTAATATAGGAGGTAGTACTGTAAGTTTATGAGACCCCAGTCTTGATAGAAGGGGGCAGAGAGGGAGAAAATACTTTTGAGGGTTTTTGGCAACCATATTCATCATCTTCATCCCAATAAGGCTTTCTCACTATCTTGTTGTTAGCCAATCAATGCAGGGAGACTGGGCTATTATTAATACAGAAAGAGAAAAAATAGATCTTCAAAACTTTCAACGTACTTTCTCATTGTCCTCTAGTCGTACACATGACTATAGCTACCAGTAACAGAAAGCAAGCAAGCAGGCACTCACACATACATAGTTAACTAAATGTTTTCATTCTCCCCAGGGGTTCTTACGGTATGTTATTAGTTTCTTAGATCCGTTTCTCTCTTGCTTCCACTGTGTCTCCTCTATTGATTTTGAAAAGGCAGCAGGCCAACAGAGTTTATAATCTTACTAGGGAACTTAAACTTTGACGGTTGCAATCAGTAAACCCTGGCTAACAATAACCACATAATATGGAGGACCAGGTCACAGTGCAGTCTGTCCCAAATGCCCAGGTTCACAACAACAAACAGTGTTTCTGCCCCACTTATGCATCCCATTCCAACAATCCATCTGCTCAAGCAGCCCTTTTCTTCTGAATCTTCCTTATATACTCTAAAGGCTGAAAGTATTCTATTTTATTTGTGACCAAGTCTTCCCCCATATTCCCAGCTGATGCTCAGCGCTTGCAGTAGGCAGAATTTGACCAAAAACATTTCCGTCACCTAGAACCCTACTCATTGTGCCTCTAAACTCAATTCTAGTTCCTCAAAGTCATAACTGATGCCTCCCTTCCCAGACTGGTTAAAACTGTTATCTTGAGGTAACCAGTGTCTCATGTTGCTTCTTTCCTACCCAAGTTAGATACCTAAAAAAGGTTACTTAAGAGCCTCTCAGGACTTTGGTTAAGTCAGTTTCTAGTTAAACTTCACTGAAAATTGTTCCTGTAGTGCTTGAATCCAATTTGGTCTGATGTTACAAAATGCCTCCCAGAGCACCTTATCACATGACTTGCTGCAATGCAAATTTCCCTAAACCTTACATACATGTAGATTGTTTTTCCTTCCTTTGTCTAGCTAGAAGCTGTACATATAAAATCTGACAATTATCCATATTACCAAATACCTTTAATGGTATGTACGTGTGTGTGGAGAAGTCCCATATTCTGCTGTCTGCTGTAGTATATAGTTCAGGTCTGAGAGACAATGGTATAAATTCCAATCCAGATCTGAAGGCCTGAGAACCAGGAGTGCCAAGATAAATATCTTAAAGGCGCAACATTAAGGCAGAGTGAATCAATCTTCTTTTATGTTTGTTCTATGCAGTCCCTTAGCATCTTGAATGATTCCCACTCACACTGGGAAAGACCATCTGTTTTACTCAGATTTATCAATTCAAATGTTAAAGCTCTCTCTCTGATATATCCAGAAATAAATGCGTGACAGGTATCCAGAGCACTCAATGGTTTAGTTAGGATGACACAAATCTTGAATACCAGTTAAAGAACCAAGTCTGGGCCTCCCTGCTGATGTAGGGGTTAAGATCTCAGCACTATCAAGCTCTGCCAGCTACTGCATGAGTTTGATCCCTAGCCAGGGAGGTGACCAACCTGGCATGGCAGCCCTCTCCTGTCTCACCCATTGCTTCCCTCAGCAGTGTATTTCTGTCTATCTGCCTGTCTGCTCCCCACTGTCTCTGGTGGATCCTTTCACCCTCCCCACCCCTGCACCTCTGTCCTACACACCAGTGCTTATATGCATAAATATAATTAAATCTTAAAAAAAAAAAAAAACACTAAAAACCAAGTCTCAGGCAGCGGCTTTCCTGCCCACCTGTGACTACGCAGGTGTTTTCCTTTACTAACCTTCTCTTTGCAAAGCAGCAGAAGCATGTCTCCTCCCAAGGCTGCCCACCTGGAACTATACAGGCTTCTCTTTTAACAAAGTTGACCTTTTTAGGGGCAGCTCTTTCTGCTTGCTTGTGTCTGTGCAAGCATCCTTAACTTCCTGTCCCTTTTTTTAATAAACCTGCCCTTTTGAATATAAATGTATATGTATATGTATATATTTAGCCCAAAAAGCCAAGTTCCAGAGTGCTGGTTTACTCACCAGGAAATCGTATTCCGAAGGTAAAATTATGATAGAAGTCTTGAATGCATACATTCATGTCAGTTTTGGGCAGTGTTAGCTTTCCAAGAAAGAATCCATTTCCTTAAGGAAATGTTGATGTGTAATCTTATGATGAAGATTCTTATAGACTTAGTCTAAAAGGTTGAGACTGCTAAAATGACGTTTCCTATCTAAAATACACAGACTTGAACAGCATATCCCCACCCACCCTAGTTTCTGTGATGTTGTTTATCTCAGAGTAGTTTTCAAAATTCCCCACAGTCCATGAAGTAGTACTCCAGAACTATTGTGGCTAACACTGAATCATTATCTACTCTCCAACACTCCAGTAGCTATGATGCCAAGAGTGCCCACTTGGCATCTTGGATGTAGAATAATACTGAACTTTAAGATCCCCCTCAAAAAAAAAATTTAGTTCAATAAAGTTTCCCAACTCCTACTCTCATTGTGCAGTCTTTGGTAATACATGATGGTCATCAGAAGACTTGAATTATAGTTTCAGTTTTCATAAGAAATATGTCAAATCCCCTATACAATTCCTATTTTATCCTATTCTGCATTACTAGCAAAATAAGCAAATAGAAATAAGTCTTTATTTCCTCAAGTATTACATATATTATATTTATACGATATCAATAACCCAACTCTAGCAAATTTTCCCAGGTTAGAGAAAAATATTAATAATCAGAATATTGAATGTGCCTTCCAAATGTATAAATTAGAATCACTGAATCTTCATTTACATATGAGGAAAGCATCAGTTCTATAAACTTACTCATTTTCAAAAAGCCAATGAGAATTTTAAAAGAATTCCTTTATAGAAAAATCACTGTGAATATTAGAAACTTAGATGTTTACCTATCTGTAGAATTTCTAAAGTTGCTTTAGGAGTCTTTTAAAAGCCAACTATAAAAATTAAAGCCTTTTAAAGGTGTCTTTATATTAGAGGTGAAAATGTGCATCTGAATTTCAAGAGAATATATTCTTATTCAATAAAAGATTTTTTAAATACTAATGCATCCATGAAATAAATCTTAAGCAGTACATTTGCTTCTTCAATACAATTTATTCTCATTATAATTTAAAGTGCATTTACTAAGTGCCTCAGAAATATCACACTGAAAGTAATAGAGCACCCATAAACTTAAGAAGAGAATAATCTTACCTAGTTATAGTGAGTCTGCTTTTCTTCCCATTACACATACTTGTTTTCCTGTGGTTCTTATTGCCAAACTATCTTCAAGATGTGGCTAAAACTTGAGTCTACATTTGGCATCAGGCTAAGTCTGTGAATCTGTAAACATAGGAAACTAACTGCAATTTAGTGTAGTCTGTTGAAGGGTCCTTTCTGGACGGTCAATGATGAATCTGAAAACACTGGGCTATATTCATGGGTAAAGAAACTATTATCCCACCTAAGTGGCAGCTACAGTTTTCTAACAGAGAAAAAGAAAAATCAACCAAGAGAAAGAATCAACAGCAAGAATAGGACAAGGAATACATACACACTGGAGTGAACAGTAAGGCTCCTCCTGAGTCCAAGCTCTTATTTTTTATTTTTAAAAGTCTGATAAAAATGTACTCAATTACATTTTAAACAGCAATATTTAATGAACATTGTCCATAAGGCTGTATTTTAAGTTCATGTGTAAAAGTAACAAAAGCTTCATCACTCAGTCTCTCGTCAATGAGAAAGGAAGAAAACCTTACTAGAAATAACAATAAATAATTTCACACAAAAGGCCAGATGACATAAGAATAGTATATTAATCAATATATTTCTTTTGTATTTACAATAAATCCATTTGTTAATACTGTGATAGAAAAAATAATGAATCAGTCCACAATATGTAGTAGAAACAGGCATTGAGGATGATCATACCTCCACAATAAAAACATACAAGGATTTTTTTCCCACAGCTTAAGTACTTTTCAACATGACAGTCTTGGGTGAAGGCAAAACTGACAAGAGTATTTTACTTTAGATCAGCTATGTCCTAAAATCAAGGAATCAAGAGTACCATTAAGCAAGTAGCTGTCTAGTTTCTCCAGGACTATTTAAATATAGTAGTTACCATGTCAAAAGTTAATTTAACTTTAAGTTACAGAAAGTAGAAATACTAAATCAGGAAGCTGCGTTAATCAAAAGCAGCCTGAAACAAAAAGCCATCAACAGAAATGAAACAAGGCATTCTTATAAGAGTATCATGCATAAAAAGGATAATTATGTAGTACATACTTTAATGACCAAACAAATAATGAGGTAAATTTTAAAGTCACTGAAACAAATAAACTATGACCACCTGAAGTGTAATGGTGCCATTGCTTCTGTTTCAAAATATAAAGTAATATAATCTACCATCTAATAACATCTAATGTTTACTTCCTTGACCCTCTTTTGAGATTGTAAAGGGAAAATGTGTAACAAAATATTAACTGAATATAACTTATCAACACCAACTATCTTGCAATTGTCATTTTGTATATGCACAGGGAATATTGTAAAATATTGTAAAAAATATTGTAAAAACTAGAAAAATGATTAGACTGGTCAGAACTTTAAATTTCAGACTAATCCATGATAATTCAGAACAGAAAAAAGCAAAATAAAATTCACAAAATAAATATAACTTGATATCCTTTCCAAATTCAAAACCAACTAAGATGTAACTTTTAAACAAATCCACTACCTCCAGGCTAAAAAGGTGTAAATCTCTTTTGAGCTTGTTTTTAAGTTTATGCTATGAAAAAAAGTTTATGCCAGAATTGCAATGCACTTTTTAAAAAAAATCCAGAACCTTTTATTTTTATATATCTACGTTAGTTATTAGTAAGGGGTAAAAATAGATATATATATTAAATTTACAAGTCCAGGCTAAGTAAGTATAGCCAGTTCAAGAAATATATTGAATCTGCTTAGGTCAAGAATTTCTTGCTACTTTGCTACTAGTTATATATAGCTACCTTTGGAATAGTATTTAAAAGATACTTTTCATAACTACTGACAGCATTTTCCATAGTATACCAATTTCCACTTTTACTTTCTTCTCTCTTTTGTCAATTAAATGCATTATTTTAACTGTCTGGTAGGTAATTTTGTTTTACAAATTCCTTGTTTCAATTACTGAACAGGGGACTTTAACACATAAACCTGCCAATCCTGAGATGATAATGGTGATGTTATTTAGAGGAAAACTAAAACCCAGATGATTTTTCATTCAAATTTCTGCTTTAGCTTTTTCTGGAAGATAGCTGGCAGAATAGAAAGAAGAGCCAAAATCATTAGGACAAATACTGAGTTCCAGGAAACAGCTTCCCCTGCTGTTGTAAGCTGGTAGAGTGTTGTTCCTGCCTTTATTGCTACAAATGAAGGAGGTGCAACACCTAAAATAAAAATAAAACAACATTCAGCAAAAGTTCATTGGTTGTTTTTTTAAAACATAAAAATGGGGCCCTCCCTGGTGGCGCAGTGGGTTAAACCACAGCACTAAGAAGCTTAAGCCACTTCCGCATGAATTAGATTCCCGCCTGCCCCGGAGGTGATCCACATGGTGTGGCAGACCTCTCCTGACCCGCCCACTGCTCCCCTCAGCAGTGTACTTTGTTAATCTGCCTGTTCTGCTCCCCACTCTGTCTCTGGTGAATCCTCTCACCCTCCGCATCTCTGGCCTGTATCCCAGTACTGTATGAATGAATAAATAAATCTTTAAAAAAAAATAAAACAAAACATAAAAATGTTCTGTGCTTATAAAGTATCTTATAAGAAAAAGCAATTCCATTTGGGAACATTTTAGTATAATTTAAAACCCCTCAAATTTAACATATAAAAAATTCAAGTTTTACAATCACTTCTTAAGGAAAATACATGAGAAAAACCAAGAAAAGTTTCCAGAAAATAATTTTATAATATTTACCATCAGTCTTAAAAAAAAAAAATGCTCTAATCCAGCAACTTCAATCTTAGGAAATACTGTATATGAGCATTTAATTGCAAGGGTGTTCAAAGCAATAATAAAAACTTGGAGATAACCTACACATTCAAAAGTAAGAGTGAATTAATTATCATTTATCCTTGATATAATAAACTGAAAATATATTCAGAAGTAGATATAAGTAAATAAAATATAAGTTAAAAAGAACAATTTATATAAGAGTATACATGGGTTAGTCAAATTTCACAAAAATCCAGAACAATCTGAAAAAATTATGTTAGCCAAAGCTGAAGTTAATAAGATCTCTAGGCATTTTACCTACATGTAAAAATGATAATTAAAATACTGTTGAGTCCGGGCCCTCCCTGGTGGCGCAGCGGGTTAAAGCACTGCACTGAGAAGCTAAAGCCACTTCCACATGAGTTCGATTCCCACCTGCCCGGGAGGTGACCACATGGCGTGGCAGACCTCTCCTGACCTGCCCGCTGCTCCCCTCAGCAGTGTACTTCGTTGATCTGACTGTTCTGTTCCCCACTCTGTCTCTGGTGAAGCCTCTCACCGCCCCTGAGCCTCTGGCCTGTACCCCAGTTCTGTATGTACAAATAAATAAATCTTGCATCTTTACCCATACTAAGGAACCATTAGAGGTCACAAAATATATATATCATCTTTATGTCAGTGACTGATTTCAAAAGTAGGTGTCAGCCCCTTGTGGGCAAGAACTTTTTCTTCATCTTTGCTTTCTTATGCTTTTTGGCAATGCCTATAATTAAATGTTGATTTCAACAAAATGAAAAATAGAATATTGAAGTTCAATATTCACCACTTGATTAAAAGGCAAAGAGAAAATTATTTAAAAGATACACTGATATTTTTTTCTCTCCACTGTGAGAATGGAGCTAAAAAGCACTACTTAATCCTGTATGATTTAAACAATCTAGGCAGTTTTTGTTCTTTTAGACTGCCTGCCTATGTCTATGTAGACATCTCTCTCTCCCTTTTTTCCCCTTTCCTCATAAACTAGCCATGTGCTGATGAAAGGGGATAAAATATATCCAGATAACTTTCTAAAAGAATTAACACAAAAATATTTCTATCAACACAATCCATCAAACATTTCAGAGCATCTATTTATATAGGCCAGGCTTCCTGCCCATAAGTTCTATATGGTGCTGGCAGGCCTGCATAAAGCATGAAATCTAGCCCAACTACATATTAAGTATGTACACAATGAGTCCAAGCTTGAACCAGAAGCCTTACCTAGAAAAGTGCCAATGAAAAAAACTTTCAGTGGCACATTTATAACAGGAGATGTAATATTAATAAACCAATTAGGCAGAAATGGTGTTATCCTCAAAAATATAATGTAGTTAATGAGATGTTCTCTATGACGTTCAACCTGTGATTTGGGGGGGAAAAAAAAGGCTCAAGATAAGGCCAATCTTGATAAGTTATTTCACATAAAATACCTTATTTCAAATCCTCACCCTTAATAATTCAGTTTGATCCAACAAAATGACCAAAAATGTAACTTGAAACAATGATCCACTTATCAGTTGCTCATTAAAGAATTAAATGAAATGGGCTTTTAAAAATTGTGCTTATATTACACTAAACATGGTTTTATATCAATCTAGATAATAGTAATCTCAGCAATAATATTTTAACAGCAAAATTAAACTTATGACTAGAAATAAGATACACAGCAAATAACCACTTTTAAAGACTTGAACTTCCTATAATTTAAAGGACTAGTATAGCACATCAGTAAAACCAGTCTTCAATCAAAGAAAATTTCAGATAATGATTATTTCCTTTAAATAAGCCCAATTATGAATAGCAAAACAATTGTTTCAAAGAAAAATTCACATGTAAAACAATTTTAATACTCAGTACACATGTGATCAAGTGACAAGAACACTAAACTAGAGGTCTAGAGATCTAAGATTCTAGATCTTGATCTACAAGTAAATGACAGTGATTTGGGGCCAAGTGCTTAATTCCTTATTAATTTCCTAATCTGTAAAACAAATGGGTAACACAGGATGATTTCTAAAATTTCTATGAGATTTCAAGTTGTTTATTCTGAGTCTTTTATAAAAATAGGCTTTCCTTAGGAATAGGATGTTAAAAGAGTTTTCAGTGTGGTGGTGCTTAGATTTATCACTGCTACTCTGTGCAAAGATCCTAACTAAAGGTAAGAGTTTTTCCGACTTATGAATATGTACTGAAGGAATTAGCTGATAAAAGTTTTCCAGTGACCCACACACAGCAGCATGTATTTAGGTGTCTAAGTACGTCAGTGTCTTTATAGCGATATATTAACTTCTCTGTTGATTGAACTAAGAATGGAGAACTAAAATTACTGGTACAGGCACAAAAGATTTTTATCTGAAACTACTAACATTCATTTTTTTGCCTACCATTTGATTTTATTTGGTCAAAAAAACATTTTCTTTCAAGTCTTGAGTCAGTTAATTCATAAAAGGGACTATATACAATGACATCCCAATTAGTCAAATAGTTACATTAAATAATTTAAAAAATAAGTGTTTACCTGTTGTGACCATTTTACTGCTTTCTCTGTTAAGTATTTGTATACAACTGGCCTCCCAACTAAATAGGAGAGCATGTAGCAGAATGAGGCACCAAGTCCCGAACACTAGAAAAGAAAAAGAACCCATTAGCATTTTGTACCTTTCCATCTTATTTACATGTACATATTCACCTAAGAAAAGCTCAACTCCTTTACTTCTTTTAGAGAGTGGGGAGGACACTCTGCATGACACCTCTAACAAGAACACATTTGTTCTAGTCCTTTTTCAAACCAAACCATAACTATGAAGAGACCAGCTTAAAAAAAGACTTGTGATAATGGCCCTCTCTGGTGGAACAATAGTTAGGACACAGCACTGCAAGCTAGCTGCAGCCACTTTACTACTAGTTCAATCCCTGCCCCAGAGTGATCCAGTGCAGCAGACCTCTCCTGTTTCACCCACTGCTCCTTTTAGCAGTGTACTCCTTTGATGTGCCTGTTCTGCTCCCCACTCTGTCTCTGCTCCTCTCACCACCTTGCACTTCTGGCCTATACACCAGTTCTGTAAGCATAAATAAATAAATCTTTAAAAAAAAAGAGACTTGTGATAAAAGTTAATGACTATCTAAATAGTTAATATTAATCTTCAGCCTAAGGACATTTATTTTTTTCAATTGCTATGCTTGAAAACACTGGGACTTAACTCATTATGTTCACAATAAGAAGGAAAGGCTAAAATAGAGCCAGTAAATACAGTGAAGTTTGAGTCCCATTAGAGAGAAAACACTAAACTATATAACACCTCTTATTGAGGAACCTAACATACTATTTTAACATTAAAAGCCTTTTAAATCTAATTAGTTTATGCATACAAAGACCAATGGGACTAGGGTAGCATCATAAGCTTCATCACTCTATTTAAACTTTTTTTCTAGTTTTCCAGTTACATTTTATATACTTACCAAACAGACAAGAAATAAGGCTAGTGGAAAGGGATAAAGAAACCCTGAGAGTATGCTGAGAAATATGGAGCCCGGAATAGCAAATGTCTGCAAGCTGTTAACTTCTAAGTTAAGGATTAAAACAACAAAATGGAATTTTTAAAAGGCAAATTCAACATTTCAAAGAAAAAGTTTAATAAATACAGATGTTATGATTATGTCCATAGATCAGTATTTAAAAATAAATTATACCCGGGCCCTCCCTGGTGGCGCAGCGGGTTAAAGCACAGCACTGAGAAACTAAAGCCACTTCCGCATGAGTTCGATTCCCGCCTGCCCCGGAGGCGACCACATGGCGTGGCAGACCTCTCCTGACCCGCCCGCTGCTCCCCTCAGCAGTGTACTTCGTCGATCTGCCTGTTCTGCTCCCCGCTCTGTCTCTGGTGAACCCTCTCACCCTCTGCATCTCTGGCCTGTACCCCAGTTCTGTACGAATAAATAAATAAAAAAAAAATCTTAAAAAAAAAAAAATAAAATAAATTATACCCAAGGTATAATTTTGCTATCTCAAAACATTCAGTTCTCCCTCTCCTTTTAGCCTTTAATTGCTGCTTCCCTTATTTTAATTTCAACCTCTTCCTTCTTCCTCTTTGGTCTGCCTCTGTCAACTTGCTCTCTCAAAGGTTCTTCCTCCACAAAAATAACTCAGATGCCTATAAACTAAAAAACATCTAGGCTGTTCCTTGACCAAAGTTTCTACCCAGCTGCTGCTTGCTTGGATAACACTTGTTATTTTCTGTTTGTTTTACAGCAGTCTTCTGAATGAGTAAGTGTTGCTTTAGATTTGTAAGATTCCCTTTTTTTAAAATTTTGATTTATTGGATTTTGTAATAATGTAAAATATTTACTTGCTTCTACTTCCAATCTACACAACAGAGTGTATTTAGAAACATTTCTCTTTCACAACTATTTCATTTCTCTTCCCACAGGCAAACATTTTTACTGACTTTTTAAAGATTTCCATTGTTTTTTGTTTAAAAAAATAACAAGATATGAGTATGTGCATGAGTGTACTCATAGCCTATCCTTCTCAGACAAAACACAGCAACTTATTTGTACTATTCTATGTCTTGATCTTTTCACCTACTATATTATGAAGGTAATGCCTTAAAGCTAAAAATACCAAGCCAAAGATACCCTCCAAGAACAAGACTGGCATAATATTGACAATTGCTTATGCTGGGTAATAACTACATAGGAATTCATTTTATGACTCCATTACTGAGGATGTAAATGTAGCAACAAATGCTGTTCTACATTTGTTCCCTCTAGAGTGCCTATGTTTTCAATTTTCTATATTAAAAGATATCTTCAAAAGTCACTGCAACATTTTAGGCATAGAAAAACAAAGAGATGACACTGATACTTTTACTTTTAATGACTTCACAGCTCATAGTCCTCAATGACTAACCAATACTAAATAAACACTGAATTCCTTAGCTTGGTCTACTATCTGGCCAGCCTATTTTCTTCAACTTATTTCTCAGCCTTCCTTTCTCACACCCTAACCTCCAATTCAACTAACTACTGATCACTGTTGAAACCTGCCCTGTGTTTGTGAATGCTGTTCTACATTTGTTCTCTCTAGAATGATTGTATCATATCTCTATCCAAAATTCTCCATTATTGAGGATGTAAGTAGGTATTTAGTTGTTCTGTGTTGAATAGTGAAATATACTTTTTTTACTAAGTATCTAACATACAATTAGTACTTCTTTAAAAAAGAAACAAAAGAGAATAAAGAGACAATATTAAGATCTAGTTAAATGAATGAATGCTCAGTTTAAAATAAGTAATGTTTAAAGTAATTTTTATACATGAGTTTGAATTTAGGTACTACCGATGAATGTGTAAGTACTGCACTGTTGAGCACACTGACCACTAGTCACATACGTCTATGGAGACAATGAAACATATCTCAACAGTGCAGTACTTACACATTCATCGGTAGTACCTAAATTACAAATTGAGATGTGCTGAAAGTATAAAATAAACCCAAATACAAAAACTGAGCATGAAAAAAATAATGTAACATACCTCAATCATTTTATATTGGTTACATATTAAAAGAAATATTTTCATATACTTATGCAAATAAAATCCATTATTAAAATTAACTTCAGGTGTCTTTATATATTCTCATGTGCCTGCTAAAATTTTTTAAATTACACATGACTCATTATATTTCTTTTGAGAATATTTAATTGGGGAAATTATTTTAATTGATGGATAAAATACAGAAATGCAAAAATAACCCACTAGCCTAACACTCAGGTTTTTATGTAAAAGTGACAAAATGGAATAGGAAAAGGCAGGCTTTAAGAAACTTGCCTTTTCTTAAAACCTGCCTTAAAAATGTAAATATGGGCCCTGCCTGGTGGTGCAGAGGGTTAAAGCACAGCACAAAGAAGCTTAAACCACTTTCACATGAGTTTGATTAGACTCTGCCTGCCCCGAGGTGATCCACATGGCGTGGCAGACCTCTCCTGGCCCACCCACTGCTCCCCTCAGCAGTGCACTTCGTCGATCTGCCTGTTCTGTACCCCACTCGGTCTCTAGTCAATCCTCTCACCCTCCGCATCTCTGGCCTGTACCCCAGTTCTGTACAAATAAATAAATAAATCTTTAAAAAAAAATAAATATAATTAAATTGCTTTACTAACAATTGCCCCCAAATGACTTGTTAAAAAAGGTAGATTCATAAAGACTAAGTATCTACGCAGAGCAATTACTTATAAAAATCGGGGTGCACACACACATGCACACACACCAGAAATAAAATATAACATTTCTATAATGCAAAGAAAACCATACTAAGAATTATTTTAAAAATTCCATATTGGCAGCTGACCCCTCCTGTCTCACCCACTGCTCCTCTAAGCAGTATATTTCAATAAATCCACCTCTTCTACTCTCAAAAAAAAAAAAAAAATTCCTACATCTGAATCAACTTAGGGTTTTTACAAAGAAAATCAGTAAATGGAAGAAAAACGATGAATAAAGATTTAAAATATATTAACACCTAGAACAAATACTAAAACATGTTTAGTATTTTATTAGTATTACATAGCAGAACTTTCAAAACCTTTTTCTTAAAGCTAGAAAACATTTTTTCAGGTAAAGGATACAAAATATATGTAGCAAAATAAGCTAAAAGTACTTGTACATAAAAGGTGTCCTTATATTTGGATAAAACTTTTCCTAGAGCCTTGGCATCATCCATATCTCTTGGGACCTTCATATTCACTCTTTCTTCTCTAAAGAAACATAATTAAAGTGAAAAATTTTAAAGCAGAAATTTGCCAATATAATTATCATAGTCAAGTTCAAAACAAAGTTTTACCCAAAATGATTAGACTGCCTGGTCTGTAACAGTTTCAAATTACATAAACATACAAATATCAAGTTCAAAAGTACACAATTATTTATTTTTTAATGCTTTAATATAATTTCATGAAAACTGTAATCTATATGAAATATCAGGATGACTCCAACTAAAGGTTAAAAGCATTTGCTCCAACTTTAGTTTAAATTTTTAATTAAGAAATGAAACAATGATGTCAGCATATTTAAAATATACTTAATGTCATTTTGGTTATCCTCACAACAAGCTAAAATTCTTTATTAACTACAACTAAAATTAAGTAAAAATTACAATGACTTTTCAGTTTATACCATTTCTGGAATAGCCCAGCTCAAACTTTAGATAAAAACCTGAACATCACTTTTACTTTACATTTAGTACTTTATTTAGAACGAATTGAGTTCTTTCCAAAAACCTCAAATAGGGCTCTCCCTGGTGGTGCAATGGGTTAAAGCACTGCATTATGAAACTGTCCAAAGCCATTGCAGCACAAGTTCGATCCCCAATCAGGGAGATGAACCACATGGCGTGGCATAGATCTCTCCTGACCTGACCACTGTGACCCTCAGCAGTGTATTTCAGCAAATCTGCCTGTTCTGCTCCCCACTCTGTCTCTGGTGAATTTTCTCACCCACATCTCCGGCCTGTACCCCAGTTCTGAAAGCATAAATAAATCAATCTTTTAAAAAAAACCTCAAATAATCATCTTTGTGTTTATGTGCATTGTGCCTATTTGTTTACTTGATAAGTTACTGACCTTGCAAACAATAATGAAATGCTAATCAATTCTTATATTCTATAAAAATAGCTGGTAGAGACATTCTGTGGGGGCGGAGTGGGGAATGGGATCAAAAACGGGGGGAAGGGAGGGAAATGCACGGGACTATGGTGGTGGCACAGGGGTGATTTGGTGATGGGAAACCCGCGGGGATTACAATCGAGATGGAAAAAAAAAATGTGCAAAATGATGTAAAAATAAACTTTGTAATAAAAAAAATAAAATAAAATAAAAATAGCTGGTAAAATAAAATGGACTTTCTCATTTATAAACTTAAGGACAAAAACATTCTGTATAGGGTGCGAATACATGACACACAGAGAAAGAAAAAGAATACAAGAAGATTATAATAGCACATTATTTTATACAAGTGATATTATAATGCTTAAGAGCATATTGGGGACAAAGATAATCTTAACCTGCAGGCTATATTCTTTCTCTTAAACAAAACATGAAGTGATCAAAAATTCAAGCACACTAATATTAACATAACAATATAACATACTATATTCTCAAGGGCATTACACTGGTATAAGATATCAAAAACTTAAATAGAAATTTACCCATAAATTTTCAAGCATAAGGAACTGTTGAATGAAAGCATAATGAAAGGAGATTGGAGGAAACAAGAGGAACTCCCTGAAATCATATTTCAATTATGCATCATCATACCAGGTTGGGTCCTGGTTGAAAGTCTAATTACATTTTAGTAGGACTTAATGTAATCTATGATTATATAGGGTTGGTATCCATTGATCGTCTGCCCTCTTAAAATATGTTTTAGATTTACAAGCTCCTCTCTAAAATTAAAAAAAAAAATCTGAAAACCAAAAATCCTTTATAATTTGTTAGCAAAAGCTGATCCACACTTTATATAACATTTTATGATACCAGGTTTCTTTGCAAAATGTTAACATATTTGAGTATGGGAGGCTGCCCCAGACCCTGTGAAGATACCACAGTATTTATTCCATGTTACCATTCCATGGAATTTTCCATGGAAAAATTTTAAATTCCAAAATATATGTCACTCTTAAGGTTTGGCTAGGAAATTGTGGACTTGTACTAGACAAAAAAAAACTTCTAGGGGGCCTCCCTGGTGGCGCAGCGGGTTAAAGCACAGCACTGAGAATCTAAAGCCGCTTCTGCATGAGTTCGAGTCCTGCTTCCCCCGGAGGTGACCACATGGCGTGGCAGACCTCTCCTGACCCGCCCGCTGCTCCCCTCAGCAGTGTACTTCGTCGATCTGACTGTTCTGCTCCCCACTCTGTCTCTGGTGAAGCCTCTCACCGCCCCTGAGCCTCTGGCCTGTACCCCAGTTCTGTATGCAAAAATAAATAAATCTTTAAAAAAAAAACTTCTATCAGTGAAGTCTACTTTACAGTGAAAAGAACCATTCAGATGATATAATTTTCACTGAAAAAGTAATAGGGAAAGGCCCTCTCTGGTGGCACAACATGTTACAGAGCAGCACTATGAAGCTCCCCACAGCCACTTCAGCTCAAGTTCAAACCAAGATCCCAGGCCGAGGAGGTGATCCACGTAGCACAGCAGACCTTTCCTGTCCCACCCATTGTTCCCCTCAGCAGTGTCTTTCAGTAGAACTGCCTGTTCTGCTCCCCACTCTGTCTCTGGTGAATCATCTCACCCGCTACACCTCTGGCCTGTACCCCAGTTCTGTATGCATAAATAAAAAACTCTTAAAAAGAAAAGAGGGAAAAAGCCAGGAGATAAGTAATATAGTACAGGAGGAAATGGATGAGTAAGATGCAAATAAAAATTGTCAAGGAAAAGCAGTAGGGAAAAAAATGGGATGGAAAAGAGGGGAAGTGGCAGAGAGCCTCAGCTTTTTCAAACTACAGGTCAACATATATCATGGACTATAAAATAAATTTACTCGGTCACTCCTAGCATTAAAAAGTAAAAAAATAAGGGCCCTCCCTGGTGACACAACAAGCTAAATAAAGCTCAGCATTATGAAGCTAGCCACAGCTACTCCAGTGGGAGTTCCATCCCCGGCCAGGGAGATGACCCACACCCACATGGCGTGGCAGACCTCTCCTGACCTGCCCACCGCTCCCCTCAGCAGTTTATTTCAGTCCATCTGCCTGTTCTGCTCCCTACTCTTGTCTCTGGTGTATCTTTTCTCACCCTGCACCTCTGGCCTGTACCCCAGTTCTTGTATGAATAAATAAAAAATAATCCTTTAAAAAAATAATAAACAAAAATTTAGAAAACATCAGCAACCACCACCCATTCCATGAATCTGTTTTAATATACATATGCAAGTGAAGGAGTAGAGGGGGAGGGGTGGCACATACATGCAAGATCATGATGTCAAAATTATCTCTTAATGTAATTGTGTTTTGTTTTTTAATTTTGAAAGTCATTAGAAACAAGAGGCATTAATTAGGAGCATGCTAGAAAAGCCTATATAAAAAAATCATATATGGAAAGAAATATTCAAATAACAATGCCAACAGACTTGTTTATAAAGCCATGAGAGTCCATATACAATTACTAAGACAGTTCTGTTGTTCAATATAGTTTAAAGTTTAATTCACTTTGTCTCAATAAACTTCTAAGCGTTTTCAGTTTCTTTCAATATACTTACTCACTAAGCTGAGGAAAATTCTTATATACCAAAAACATAACAAAAGCTGCAGATAAGAAAATGGACACCAATATAAGAAGTGACGTTCTTGCTGACCCAGCTTCAGCACAGGCTTTTTCTGAAAGACAAAGAAAAGCTGTAATTAAAATTAAGATAGTATTCCAAACCACAAAATAATTTCCTTAAAGATTTACCTCCTCGAAATACTGTTCACATCTTTTCTCAAGACACTATATTTATTTGTGCATACAGAACTGGGGTACAGGCCAGAGGTTCAGGGGCGGTGAGAGGCTTCACCAGAGACAGAGTGGGGAACAGAACAGGCAGATCGACAAAGTACACTGCTGAGGGGAGCAGCGGGCGGGTCAGGAGAGGTCTGCCACGCCATGTGGTCACCTCCGGGGCAGGCGGGAATCAAACTCATGCGGAAGCGGCTTTAGATTCTCAGTGCTGGGCTTTAACCCGCTGCGCCACCAGGGAGGGCCTATTTGATGTTTATTAACTGGGCATATTACTTTTGGACAATATATCCATTTTAGAAGAATGAAGAAACGGAACACCAGGATCTGTAGCACTGATTTGTTGATAAGCCAAAGCCGGGGGGGGGGGGGGGAGAGGAGGGAGCGGGGCATTTCTCAAATACAATCACAGACTTCAATTTTACAAATCTGTATTGGGAGCTGACAGCATAGACAGAATGGTCTCTTAAGGAAAATGAGGTAATTTGCCAATTACTTAAACTGTGGTAAGAACCAAGAGATTCACTAATGTAACTTAGTGATACTATACTTTATCTTTACAACAAGGGCTTCAGAATATAGGTGAATGGTGGCCCTCCCTGGTGGCGCAGCGGGTTAAAGCGCAGCACAGAATATAGGTGAATGAAAAATATCTTGGGTAACTCTATCTGTGATCCAAGTATGGGAGAATTTGTTTGCACTCCTGGCAAGGTAAACTTGCTGTTATCTTAAAAGGTATATGCAAGACAAAGATAAAGAATGAGATCCAAGAAACAGATGCAGAAGAATTAACTAGGGTCATTTTACCAGGAAGCAGGGTATAATGAAGAGGCCAAAATTACTTAATAGTATTCACTGGGAAATAGGTAAGTATGGGGGGCTAAACTTTTGTTGCCTACATTTACCATTATCACATGTATGTACTGACATCATTGAAGAGACTAAAAAGTTAGATGTGTACTATAGTTACAATTTATTACTTTTAGTTCTCTGAGAATGGATTTCCCACTACGCCCCTTCCCTAATTACTATCTATGTAGCTTTCAAAAAGTATCCTAAACAAAAGTATAGAACTGCCTGCTGTTTATTTTATAAATTTGTCAAATCCTCCTTTATGAATGTAAATATTCATATCAGACAAATGGCACTGTGTGCTCTACTAACTCTCCCCTTCTCTGGGAAAAAGCACTTTTCCTAAGCTTCCCACTCCCATTCCCCTTCACCAAGGATCTTACCACATGCACCATATTCTTAGGGTGTGATTCTAACACTCTATCCCCCAAACATAGAAGCTGTTGACTTGCCCAAGGTTGGATACCTGATCTAGGCAGAAACTGGTTTTGCCCAAGTTTTTGAAAATTTTAATGAAAAGAGAGGGGAGAGGAAGGCAAGAAAGGAGGAAAGTAAGGAGGGAGAGAGGAAAAAGATAAAAAAGAGAGACATGGTTGTCAGAGGTCGTGGATATTCAGACTGAAAAAACAGTGAAGACCAATCGATAACATGACAAGATGAAAACACTGTAAGAGGGGAAGATAGAATAGAAATCCAAAGAGCAGAAATGGAGATATATTTGTTGATTTCTAGCTTTCCACTTGCTCTGAAGCTTGGTTATATTTCATTTTTTTGCTCATGGATGTCAATCAGATTATCTCTTATAACAACCTCCTTTCATTTGTGCATGTTTAAACTGATTTTTATTCCTTTTTACCAAAAAGTCTTAACTAAATACTAAATAAAGTCATTTTATTCATACCTTGTCTCATTACAGCAGGGACAAATAACTAAGACTTCACTAAATTCTACGATGAACATTGAACAAACTGAAGCCATCTAAGTTCCTTATTACTCAGTGTGTTCTGTAACTACATAAAACAGCATCACCAGGAGTTTGTTAGAAAAACTTATCAGGTCACACCTCAAGACTACTAAATTGGATCTGCATTTTAAGATACCCAGGTGATGTGCACATACATTAGGCTTATGAGGCAACAACATGGCCCATTTTGTTTCGTAGGAAATCAAATAGGCCAAAGAAGGAGCTTGTACCATCTATTTTAAAAAACACTAAACTAGGTTCTCCCCAGTAGCACAAGGGTAACGTTAAAAGCTTAGCACTATGAAGCTATCTGCAACCAATGTGGAATGAGTTCCAGTTCAAGCCCCAGCCTAGGAGCTGACCCACCTGGCACAGCAGACCTCTCCTATTCTTGCTGGCTGCTCCCTTCAGCAGTGTATTTCAGTAGATCTCCAGTTCTGTACCCTACTCTGTCTCTGGTGAATCCTCTCACCCACATCCCACACACCTCTGGCCTGTACCCCTGTTCTTGTATGCATAAATAAATAAACCTTTATAAAAATCCTAAACTACTAAAAATCCAAAGCCCTTTTTAACACAATCAAAACTCATCATATCTGTGGAAACACAGATTGTTTAATGTTCTGATATATTAAATATAAATTATTCTAACCTGTTCATTATAATAGGCTTTCAAACAGACAATATCAGATCTATCAACTTCGATAATGTGAACACTAAAGTTAATTTTTTTTCTAATTTTCTTTTTTTTTTAAAGATTAATTTTATTCATGCATACAACAGCTGGGGAATAGGCAAGAGGTACAGGGTTGAAGAGGATTTACCAGCGATAGAGTGGGAGTGATAGAGTGGGGACAGAATAAGCAGGTCTACTGAAATATACTGCTGAGGGGAGCAGAGGTAAGATAGGAGAGGTCTGCTGGGCCATGTCAGTTAGCAACCTGGCTTGGGATCAAACTCATGCCACAGAGGCTGATGATAGCTTGATAACACTGAGACTTAACCCCTTACGCCACATGGAGGCCCAAAATTTTTTTCTAATTTTTTGTATCTAAACAAGTCACTCACTAATCAGCCTAATCTTCCAATTACTTAGTCCCTATCATTTTTACTGTATTTCTTTTTAATCTCAAAAAGGATTTTACTTAAAAATAAAGTTACAACTACAAACTTAATGGCTAACTTTTCTTGCAGGAAGGAATGGAATCTTAAAATGATACAAAACCAATTCAACCAAAAATGTAGTTACAAGGCGAAAATTTTTCAGACTTTACTAACTAAATACTCTACTGAGAAGGAAATATTGGTAATATATAAAGTGAATTTCTTAAGTTAGTTTTCTATGAAATCACATCAAAGACATATTTTTTTTCAAAGCAAATACCTATTAACATGTCAGTAGTCTATGTAATTTTTCCAGAAATTTACTATGTCATAAAGGTATGCTATTAGGTCTACCTGGAATTAACTTGCCCAACATTCATTTTTCACTTCCCTGCTAGTGTCAAGTCCAGAGAACAAAAGGCTAATACAAATAATTTAATATTGGGGACCTCCCTGGTGGCACAAGTTAAAGCACAGCACCTCAAATGATGGCTGCCGCTTAAGTGCGAGTTCGACCCCTGATCCCAGAGGTAACCCACATGGCTCAGCAGACCACTCCTGACCCACCCACTGCTCCTCTCAGCAGTGTTCTTCGTCAATCTGCCTTTTCCGCTCTCCACTCTGCCTCTGGTGAATCCTCTCACCACCCTTGTACCTCAGCTCTGTATGCATAAATAAATAAATCTTTAAAAAATAATAATAGTAATTTAAATATGAGCATCTTTCAAATCCTTCACATTCATAAATAATTTTGTTCTTTCATGTCTTGTTTTCCTATAGTTGTGTGTGTAAATAAAAGGATAAATAACTGACTTTCACTCTTCCTTGGAACTTCTTTTTAGGACTTCTCTGCTCCTAAGAAGCTATTACCATTAACTAGACTCCCAAGGAACCATACAAAGAAGCTTTGATTGATATAAGGGAAGTAAGATTACTGGGCTGGAGTGATGAAAGCAAGAGCCACAGAACAGGTAGAAATTTACTGAAGATTAATAGAGCTTAGCCTTTTAAAAAAAAAATTTATTTATTTATTTATGCATACAGATCTGGGGTATAGGCCAGAGGTGCAGAGGTGGTGAGAGGATTCATCAGAGACAGAGTGGGGAGCAGAGCAGGCAGACTCATGAAGTACACTGCTAAAGGGAACAGCGGGCAGGTCAGGAGAGATCTGCCACGCCACGTGGGTCACTTCCTTGGCTGGGGATCAAACTCGTGTTGAAGCAGCTATATCTAGCTTCATAGTGCTGCACTTTAACCCAATGAGCCACCAGGGAGGGGCAAGAGTTTAATCTGCATGCACTGTGGCTAAAGATTTCAACTGGTATTACAGTTCTCTTAAATTAAAAATTAAAGACATTAGGCATGCTAGCTCTAAAATTAAACTATAATGATTTTCTTCCCACCATGGGAAGAAAATTATCAAAGATTATCAAACAACATAGCAACTACAAAATAACAACTATCCTGAGTATTCCTTGAGTATACCTCTCTCTGATTGCTATTTGTTGTCTTACTGTTAGATGATGAAATATATAGACACTTGAACAAAATTAACCTCCAGGTATGAATAGATACCTATTTTCTTCACTTTCTAAAATTAGGCAAACTTTTGCAAGTACTGTTTCCAACAGTAAAAGAAGACTACAACTGGTAAGAAATATAACAAGTGACATTTAATTTTGAAGTTCTTCCTCCCTTCATGCAAAAGAGTATATGACACTTATAGTTCAACAATTCTTCTTGAGTAGTTTTAACAAACCCAGAGATTAGTATGTAATTCATCTAGAGTTCTAAACAGAGGTAAAAGGTAAAACTTTGTTTTAATGATTCTACATCTAAATGTTTAGCATATATAATATGCATTCACAATATGCTTTCTGCTGGGTTGCATTACACACAAGTGTAATTTAGAATTCAGAGCTACCTACATTAGTCCTTTATACATTCATTAACATCTAAATCTTCCATCACACTCACTCCCAGTCCAAATTATCCCATTATCTGCTTTTCCAATCTCCTCCCTGGCTAAAGGTACTGTTAAGAGAAAATCAGCTCATCATGTGCCTTTGGCCTATAAACTGATTTGCTTTTCTAGCTTTGATTAAGATTATCACTGGCAAACAATACCTTTACAGCATACTCCAAAAGGACTATTTCAAGTCTCTTTCAGCATTTAAATTTATCTTCCCCTACTTTTTGTGAGCTCCCCATTCTCTACCTCAAGATTATAATCCCAGGCCCTCCCTGGTGGAACAATGGGTAAGGAATAAGGACGCAGCACTGCAAGGTAGCTGCAGCCACTTCAGTACAAGCTCAAGATCCCTCAACCCGGAGGTGATCCACATGGTGTGGCAGACCTCTCCTGAGCTGCCCACTGCTCCCCTCCGCAGTGTACTTTGTCCATCTGCCTGTTCTGCTCCCCACTCTGTTTCTAGTGAATCCTCTCATCACTCCTGCATCTCTAGCTTGTACCCCATTTCTGTGTGTATAAATAAATAGATCTTAAACAACAACAAAAAAGATTATGATCCTGGGCCCTCCCTGGTGGTACTACAGGCTGAAGCGCAGCGCTCTGAAGCTATGCTATCCTATCCTATCCTAACTGCAGGTGCTGCAACCCGTTCCATCCCCAGCCAGGGAGGTAACTCACGTGGTACAAGACCTTTCCTGTCCTGCCAGCCAGCTGCTCCCCATAGCACTGTATTTCAGTAGATCTGCCTGTTCTGTTCCTCACTCTGTTTCTGGTGAATGCTCTCCCCCAGCCCCCACCCTATGGCCTGTATCCCAGTTCTTGCATGAAATACCAGAAACAATATTACCAGAAACAGAGTAGGGAGCAGAGTAGGCAGATCTATTCTGAGATACACTGCTGAGGGGAGCAGCAGGCAGGACAGGAGAGGTCTGGCACCATGTGATTCACCTCCCTGGCCAGGGATGGAACCTGCTGCAGCAGCTATGGGTAATTTAGCTTCAAAGCATTGCGCTTCAACCTGTTGTACCACCAGAGAGCACCAAGTACAAATTTAAAATAAAATACAAAGGATTAACTATTAAAAACTCACACACACACAAAGCATGTTTGTAGAAAGCAGGAGAAACAGCACTAGCACTTTTGCTAAAAAGCTCAATTTTCTGAGGTTACAGCTATAACACTGCTATCATTAAATGCACACACCCTAAATCACTACCACCTAAACATTTCAGGCTCTTACCTATTCAAAAGACTGAGACCAAGTTTATGGCAAATATTGTCATAGTTCTAAAAGAGGCAGCACTTTTGCTAAAAAGCTCAATTTTCTGAGGTTACAGCTATAACACTGCTATCATTAAATGCACACACCCTAAATCACTACCACCTAAACATTTCAGGCTCTTACCTATTCAAAAGACTGAGACCAAGTTTATGGCAAATATTGTCATAGTTCTAAAAGAGGCATCATCCACTTAGATGCTCCCTAAGGGATAAGCATTTGATTTTAGATAGTCTTATTCTTATCACAGTAAATATCTAGAGTTTTATTGGTAATACTAAGGAAAGAGTCTTGAAATTAACAAGGAAGGGCTTGGCTTACCTGGACCCTAAGAGAATTCAATCTCAGTAAGGTTGACATAAAGTAAATAAACCATGATAAAAAAGAAATCCAATCATTAAGCTACTGATTCCAGTAAATCTCACTTATTTCTCAGGGTTTATATATATATATATATATATATATATATATATATAGGAACCAATATAATTCCTTTCAGCAAAGTGTCTCAATTGTGTGTTCTACTGCTGAAAAGCAAAACACATATTTGTGTTGCAGCTGGCATTAACATATTTCCCTAATAACATTACTTTATGTCCAGCTGCCTATGTGTTAGTTTCCAGTTATCAGTAATCACACTCCCTTCTTCTCAGACAATACTTTGCTTATAGTAGATGCTCAAAGAGTATCTGCTAAATGAGATTAGCAAGGCAAGATGTAGAATAAATATCTAAGAGGGACTTACTGTCCAAGTTTGACCAATGAAATAAAGTAAAAGCAATAAAACCAACTTCATGACAATGTCAAACATGTGGGCTGCATTCCATAGTAAGCATAATTAGCAATATTATGACCTGATACACAAAAAAATCTATACACCTGAAAAAATTTTCAAAGAATGCTTAGCCCCTACAACCGTCAAAACGTTGGGGGCCGGGGGGGTGGGGGGGGGGGAGAAGGAAGCCCTGAACTAACTCCATAAACACAGGTTTTATGGATCCTACTCCCACTTTAGACCAAAGAGATCCAGGACACCAAGAACTACATATCCCATAATGGCAGGATTTATCACAGACATGTGGATCTGGGGTGTCTCAGCTTTTTGCCGATTTTCACATGCTATTACAGTTTCAGCTCAGCAAAACTGGTAGGACACACTGACCAATTTATCTTCCTCACTTTCCCCCTGAGTTATTCATTTCCTCATTTCCTCTTCTTTGTAAATAAAGCCTTTATTAACCTTTTTGTGTTGGCCTGCAGTTAAGTCTTATTATAAGTACCTCTTAAGCACATGGATGAGGGTTGCCAAATCAGGTAACTCATATCACATCAGGGTTGCCCTGTAACAAAAACACTCCTCTATTTGTTACTCTTTAAAAAATGGTTCATCATTACCCATTCATACCACTCATAAGGGTAATGAACTATATATACATGGTAAAAAAAAATAAAGTCCTACCAATTCTTTTTAACCAAAATGTGGCATTTCTATGTTTACCCTGAAGCTTTTTTCAAGGTAAACAACACAAATGAAAATAAAATACCCTGGTCAAAGCACTCTTGTACACACATTAGGTGAAGTGCATGATGGTTTCATCTCTTGACTTGTCTCTCATCCTTCCTCATCAAACAAAAATAAAAATCCCAGCATTTTACTATTGCTAAGTAATTACTAATGAAATCACATAACCAGCTGATTACCACCAATCAGTAAAACAAACCCTACCATCTGAACCTACAAAATCTTTTGCCAAATGAGATAACTATTAACACTAATAAAAGAGTGAGACAGAGAAAAAGAGGGAAAGGAAAATCCTCAGAACTATTAATAAGTAGGACTGATAAAAACTTCCTTTGCATTGCAGTTTAAAAAGCTTTCTACATACTGTGATACCATATTGACCTCCACCAGCCTTATCTCTTTCTAAGGCCTAACGGAAATCATCCACTCCTGACTGACACACACAAAAGGCTTACACTAATCAGGCCTACTGTTTCCCCTGCCAGGAATCCTCTTCCCTTCCCTCCACTTACCAAAATCTTTCACATCCCTTCCCCGGATCTTCCCATAAATTATAGTCCATAAAGGACACTTGACAACATCCAAAAAACTGTGTTGAAAATGCTGTTCTAATGATAAGTAATTTTTCTAAAAGTACTTTGGAAGTTTCAAGGTTTTATTTTCTGAAGAAATTTAGGCTTAAAAAAAAATGACAGTAATAAAATTACTGCTATCCAAACCAAGTGACAATCTTTAGCAATGCCCTACCTGGAAAACACATTTTTATAAAGCCTTTGGACTTCCTGTGACTTTCAGGAGCACCATCTTCAAAGCACTGTTCCTTAAATTTAGGGTGGATTTGTAGTTTGATCATTCATTTTTAGCTTTTTGAAAAATTATTTACCTCTACTGTTAATAGAACTATAATTTACACCAAATTAGATAGGAGACATTTCAAATTACTCAAAATAAATACTATTTTGCTATATGTTAAGTTTTTTAATGTACTTTAAATTTGATTAAAAGCGTTTCACCTGAATGTTAAGCATACTATCACCATATATACATATACAAAAAAAGTAAATGTATATGTTAAAGTTTAGAATGCATTATTGTTGACTGGTTACAACATTGCCAGACATTCTTAAATGAGGCTCCCTCCTCAATGGTGGTGAAACACATCAGTGCCAATAAACTACAAATAATTTAATGGGATTTGTTAAAAGCTCTTCACGTTTACAGCATGAGCTTAATAATTCAAAGAGCTTAATAATTCCAACTGCTGAAAAGCAATAAAAACCTCTGAATATGAAATAAAAATATTAGTTTCTAACTGTGCTTCCCCCCACCCTCCTTAATATTTAAAACCCTGGGAAATATCAGGGTAGAGTAATGGAGAAAAAGCTGTATAACTATATACGATCTTAGAATAGTAATAGCTTCACATGAATTATTTCATTTAACTCATGCACTCATCTGCGTAGATTTTATTATTACTACTATTATCATCGCTCCATGGTACAGTTTGCCACTGCGCTTTTGAAAGATAACAAGTCCAAAGTCATAAGTAATAGAGCAGGGACTTTAAGTTTCCTTACTGTAAAAAGTAAACCAACAAGTGCAAAAGCTCCTTCCAGCTTTGTCTAGCTTCAATATTATCAACCTTATAATTTCCTCCGGTGTCAACAAGCTAATGTCATTCTTCTTTTAATTGAATCAACTAGAAAAATATTTACGACGCACCTACTCGGTGTCCGACCTTGCGTGAGCAGCAGCCCAAACACAGGTCTCCCAATCTCAGTTCTGGCCTCTGGGTGCCAGCATCTCTCTTCTCCCCGCCCCCACCCCGTAAGTCTCCAGGATGGGCTGGGGTCCTTCACCCTTTCAAGCCCTTCCCGGAACACTCTCGCCACTGGGCCAGTTCCAGCTCTGGTTCCTGGGCCCACTCACCCTTTAAGTGGTCTCCGCTGTCTGGTACCGTAGGACCCGATGCCCTGTCCCCCGGTGGGGTCGTATGGAGTGCCCCCGTTTGCGAGCGCTCGGTGACTCTGCCTTTCGCCATGGCTGCTGCAGAAAAAAATGAGAGATCAGGTGACGCTGCGCCCCCTTAACTCTGCCGCAGGCCTCTTACAACACCGGGGGCCAAAGCCTCAGACACTTCCGGAGCGACCACCTCACCTGAGACGACCTCAGCCGCGCGAGCTCAGCGACGCTCGACTGAAACCTACAGCTCCCACTGGAACTATGCTCCGCCCCGTACCGCCCCCGAGCCTCGCGCGCTCCCGCGGGCCCAGTAACCGCGAGACAAGTTAGGGCCCCGACCCGCCCCATTCAGCTGACTGCCCCGCCTCGCGCCAGCAATGAGCATGCGCAGTCGCGGCGCTGGCGTCACAAGGTTTCTCTCACCGGCGCAAACCTCTAATGCGCAGCTTTAACTCGCCGGAAGTGCCGTTCTAGGGAGTTAAAGCCCTTTGTCCTGGCTGCCGGAAGGGTCCAGAGTGATTAGTTGGCGTTATTCCGCGAGCACAGAGTGGAGCCTTCTCCCCTTTCTAGTTCCACACGCTGCTGTCGTCAGTTTGGAGGAGCTAGCAAAATGCTTATTCTGAAGAGAGTGGAAAACGTAAAGCTTGAACCTAGTCTAACGAATGCAAGAAACTAAAGCTCAGGCAAAAGCTATATCCTATGAAGGTCACAGGGTGGCAGACATAGATTTAGAATCCGGAACTTCTTGTTCCAAGCAATTGCAGTCCCCTGTCATCATCCATTCGCCCCAAACAAGTAAAATCTAGGTCAGCGCATTACGTTTAACTTTTTCTTTGCTGAGCGCAAACGTCGTCTTGTTCAGTTGCTTTCCATTCCTACATCTCAGTCGTATTCAGCTTATTCATTGGTGAGTGTATTGGAATTTCTTATTTGAAAGCAACTTGGCAAGGTGCTTAATTAGGTTTCTGGGAAACTCTACCATGGAGGTAAACATACAGAAAGAATTGGCCCTAATAGCATTTGTTGTATAGTGGCAAATGCAGAAACAATTTTAAAAAATCCAAACTTAAAAGTAGTTAAAATTATGGGCCATCCATTCTGTGCGCACTTGGCTTTCAGTGACCACTGTAAGACCATTTTTATTTCCTTAATAGTACTTATTGAAAACAGTAATTATTTGGGTTATTTGTTTATGCCATATCTCTTTTTCTTTTTTAATACCTATTTTTGCATACAGAACTGGGGCACAGGCCAGAGGTGGGGGGGGGGTGAGAAGGTTCACCAGAGACAGATTGGGGAGCAAAGAGGGCAGATTAAGGAAGTACACTGCTGAGGGGAGCAGTGGGCGGGACAGGAGAGGTTTTCTAGACATGTGGGTCTCCTCCATGGGTGGGGATATCGTACTGAAGTGGCTGCTGGCTAGCTTCCTAGTTCTGTGCTTCATCCATTGAGCCACCAAGGAGGGCCTTGCTACATCTCTGGAATGTAAGCAATAGTAAGGTAAATGCTTTTACATTTTTGTTCATTGTACTGAGCAGAAGATGACAAAGTCCTAATTTTTAAGAACACATTCAGTGAATATGTTGAATAAACTTTCAAGCATAGAAAATTAAGAGACTAATAATGTGGGCAATGTCTATTAAAAAATAATTTCTAAGAGAGCTATTAAAAACATTAGACGAAATACATAATCAGGGCCATCCCTGGTTGCACAAGAAGTTAAACACAGCACTATGAAACTCTCCCTACTTCAACATCTGTTGGAGCTGGGGCCTGGGAGGTGACCCACCCACATAGCTCCGCAGACCTCTCCTGTCTCACCTGCTGCTCCCCGCAGCAGTGCATTTCAGAACATCTGCCGGTTTTTCCCCACTGTCTCTGGTGAATCCTTTCTCACACAATCTCCCTCCTCTACCTCTGGCCTGTATTCCAGTTTTTATATGCATAAATAAATCTTATAAATAAATAAATACCTTTATAAATAATATTTATAAATATCTTTATAAATAAATAAATCTTATTCATTTATTTATTTTTTCATGTATGCATACAGAGCCAGGTACAGACAGAGGTGCAGGGACAGTAAGAGGATTCACCAGAGAAAGAGTGGGGAGCAGAACAGGCCTACTGATGAAGTACACTGCTGAGGGGAGCAATGGGTGGGTCATGAGAGGTCTGCCATGCCATGTGGATCACCTCCAGGGCTCAGGATCCAACTAGCACTGAGGCAGCTGCGGCTGGGTTGCAGTGCTGCGTCCTTACCCATTGTGCCACCAGGGAGGGCCCAAATAAATACATCTTTAAAAAAATACATAATCAACTGAATTTATATTTTAGTGTATAGAAAATATACTTGAGCAAGACATAAAACTATTTTTAAAACATTTGGTCTGTTTTACAACATGAAAAATAAAAAGTACAACAAAATCACCAAAAAAATAGACTAAAAATTGGTAGCAGAAAAAAGTAGTCATCACATAAATAAGAATTACTGCAAGTTAATAAGAAAAACCGATTCAACAGAAAAAAATGGACAAAAGGATATGTATATAACCAATCACAGAAGAATAAATAGCCAACAATTTAGGGGAAGATGAACAGCCTCTTTAACGTGGTAATAGTGATTGAGAGGTACACAAATTGCAGGAGCAAATGAGAGGGGTTCCTAAATTAGAGTGGGATTTCAGAGAAAACCTAATAGGAAGAATAATTCTGATTTAAAAGATGAGTTGAGGCCCTCCCTGGTGGCGCAGCGGGTTAAAGCACAGAACTGAGAAGCTAAAGCCACTTCCTCATGAGTTTGATTCCCACCTGCCCTGGAGGTGACCACATGGCACCGCAGACCTCTCCTGACCCGACCGCTGCTCCCCTCAGCAGTGTACTTTGTCCATCTTGCAGTTCTGCTCCCCACTTTGTCTCTGGTGAAGTCTCTCGCCGTCCCTGAACCTCTGGCCTGTCTGTACCCCAGTTCTATATGCACAAATAAATGAATCTTTAAAAAAAAAAAAAAAGAGTTGAAATTAAGCTGGGTGAAAAAACAACTTATTTGAAGGCTAAAAGCTACTGCTTATCTTTTAAAAAGAACTGCAAACAAAAAGTTGGAGAATAGGGGACTTCCTGGTGGTGTAAGGGGCTAAGTTTCGACATTGTTAAGCTATCCTCAGCCACTGCAGCAGGAGTTCCATCCTGGCCCAGAAGCTAACCCACAGGGAAATCTCGCCCTCTGCTCCCCTCAGCAGTATATTTTAGTAGAACTGCCTGTTCTGTTCCCCACTCTATTTCTGGTGAATCTTCACAACCCCTCCCCCCCTCCCCAGCACCTCTGGCTTGTATGGTAAATAAATAATACATAAATAAATCTTTAAAAAGAAAAAGGTTGCAGAATGGAAAAATAAGAGAAATAGGAAAAGAGCCTCATCATAAAGTGCTAGAAGTTTAAATGTAATCATCAAAGATATTTGAAATTATTAAAGAACATTTAACTAAAGAGGGACATACTAAATTTATATTTGTAGATCTGGTTTTAACTGCCCAGTGACAGAATTGAAGGCATGTCACACTAACAATAGAAAAAGTTAAGAGGTTATTGTAGTAAATCTGACTGGGCCCAGGTAGTGGACTGAAAACTAAGAGATGACATCAGATATGAGGTGATGTGTGAGAAAAACTATTTTTAGACTTCTATTACATGTGTAAATACAATTACTCTGCTACTGATTCAGAAGGGTCTCTGGCTTCCACCAATTACTCTCACATAAGGTTTGAGGAGCCAATAACTGGTCTCAAGCAAGCAATGCTTATTGTAGATCACACAATTGGAGAGGGGCAACAACTGCCTTGAGCCACACTCTCTGCTTGAGAGCAAACAGGTATCCTGATTTTATGGGGTTTGATCTTCAGGGCTAGGCAGTGGGGAAGCAGTGTTGGTATTTTGATTTTCAATAACAGAAAGTTACAAACAAGGATCAGGTTAACCTAATGACACAAAGACCATGTGCCAAGGGCCCCCAAACAATTTCTGAAAAGCCAGTCAGTCTGATCACATAATCTTGGTATTTGGGGATTTAGCCTCCTTGGATTTAGAAATGTTAAGAAAGTAAAATCTAGAGAATTGAATGGACTAGTAGACAAGGATATTAGTGAGAGTTAAGAGATTATGTATTTAGAGACTTTCTGATTTAGGATGCTAAAGGGTATACCTGAGCGATTAAAGGAAGAATTGAAGGAGAGAATAAAGCTGAATTTTGTTTTTGTTTCCATTTACCCAGATTCCTCAGTTCTTCATTTATTTGTATACCTTTCCTCAGCTGAAACTTCTTTCAGTCACCAGTAGCTGTTTATCCTTTTATTCAACATTCACTCTTTAATCATTTGCTACCTCTGCATGGTTCCTACCTTCATTATTTCCATGACAATTCTCTGACCACTTTGTTGACTCTATTGAAGGAAACTTTTATCTGCCCTACCCCTTAAGTGATGCTATTTCTCAGGCTACAAACTTTTCCCTAACAATCTTAGCCATATCTTCAATAACACCTATACATGTACAGATAACAAATGTTTGTCTCAAGCACTAAATAAACATTTATACTATAAGCTCCTCAAACTCAGAACATCCAAATCTTACCTTTCACAATCTTGGAAATGGTACCACCAGGTCCCTTTTTTCTCAAACCAGAAATTTAAGAATTCTCATTTAACATTCATGAAATTCAATCTATTAAATGAATACATCAATTCCTTTATGTCCTTTACACCTACATCCAGTCAAACACTGAGTCTAGTCAGACACCCATCTCCTTACCCTCCTCATCTAGATTTCATGATCTCTTCTCACTCACCTCTCAGCAATTTTCCATATTACCGCTAGAATGGTTAGTAAGAGATAATATTGAAATCCTTCATAATCTGACACAAGCTCAAGTGATCCAGCTGACTCTGAATCCAACATGAATAATAAATGAACAACGTAAACCACTCTGAACCATATGCAGTAAGTGCCCTTACTGACCATACTCTGTGCTTTTGGGCCCTTGTAACAATTATCCCTTTGCCTTCAGTGTCTTCTCCTAGTGTTTCTCTATGATCAGTTAGCACTTATATTTGAAGATTATCTAAGGGTAAGAGTCCACATAGTACTTTTTCCCTTGTGTTGCCTGTAGTTTAGTGATTATATTTTAATTTTTCACTTATTGTCTGTCACTAGACTTTGATCACCCTGCTTCAATCCAGCACAGTGCCTTTCTCAATATATTTTTGTACAATGAATTCTTTG